CTGATGCCACAATTCTCCTCATAGAGCCCAGCCTCTCAGATAATCTTTCCCATAGTATTAATGAAAAACCCTCGTTTTGGTAAAGAAACAAAGTCTTTTTTTTTTAATTTTATTTTATTAATTTTACAGAGATTTTGGATTTCCCTTCATTCATTGTTGCAGTTTTTCTCCCTGCCCATCCCTCCCCCCCAGTTCACTCTTCTCTTTTAAAAAGTAAAAGAATAAAGAAAAATTCTTATTATATCATTTCACTCCCTCCCTCCACTTGTATCAGAACTGACACATTATTGACCTTCCAGTGGTCTTCTAAGCGTGCAAATTGCATGGAGATTGCCCATCCTTCTTCCTCAGAGCTACTGGTGAATTTAAACTACCAGAGAGGTATGGCATTCAGTTTAGAAGTGAATTTCACACCCATTATACCACCAGAGCTCCCTATATCATACTGGAAGGCCTGTCTTGTCCATTTATTGAGTTTTCAGTGGTATTGACGTTGGCCAGTGGGCTTGGATGTTATAGTCCTGATTCTTCTCTCACAGAGATCCCATCAACTTTTCACCTAATTGCCCCGAGCAGACATGGATGAACTTGTTCAGACTCATTATTTCCTTGGAGGTTACAAAACAGTGAACATCCAATTCTGTCACCAAAAGAGACTTTGTTGTTGTTAGGTGCTGTTAAATCAGCTCCAACCTTTTGCACAGCAGAATGAAACTCTGTCAGGTGTTGTGCCATCCTCACAATGTGTACTGTGCTGTTTTAGAGCTTGGGAATTACTATGCCTTTTGTGAACTCTAAGACTGTGCACCTCCCAGCCTCCTTCTATTGCCTCCCTCACTCAAAGCAGACTTACCAGAGCAGATCGTGGAAAATGGTCCTCTTGACATCTTCTCTACTCCCAACCTAAATCTAGATGATTGAGCTCGCAGCCAGTGAATACTAATTAGGGATCTCTCTGTAGGAGCATCAGCAGTAACAGCGGCAGCAGTCATTTATGGAGTAGTTGCTATAGATCAGGCAGTGTGATAGGGCTTTTCACAATAATAGCTACCATATAGAAAGTGATGACCTTGTCTCCTGTACTTTATACTACAGTCTGTGTTTCTGCACTGTCCATTAGGATAGCCGGTGCCTACTGAGCTCTTAAAATGTAGCTAGTCCATATTGAAATGCATTATAAACGCAAAACACAGGCAGGATTTTTAAAACTATGAATGTTAAAAGGTATACAAAATACCTCATTAACAACTTTTTGTGTTGCTGTGGTAATATTTAAGATATGTTGGGTTAAACAAAATATATTATGAAAATAGATTTCCCTATTTTTTTTCTTTTGAAAATGACATATGTGGCTCACATTGTGTTTCAGTTGGACAAAACAACTTCCATGAGTCCCAGAATTTGATGTTATTTCTCTCAGGGAGGCTAAGTAACTTATTCAAGGCCATTCACCCAGAAAGGAAGAAGGTGGGATTGACCACAGTTCTCTACTCTTTCCATCAAGTCATGGCCTGTTCAACTCTCCAGATTAATTATGGCCTAGGCAGCATATTGATGAATAAATGACTGAATGATAGAAAAGAAAAAAAAGGGTCATGTTTCATCTTTATAAACGTTAATAAAACACTTGAACACAATGAGGGTCTGGGTGAGTTTTGGAAGTGCTGGGGCAATTCTGTCCTGTAGAGTTACTATGAGTCTATGTTTACTCAGTCAGTGGTAGTGACCTTGGTTTGGGGAATGTTAATGATTAAGAGAACAGGCTCTGCTGAGGGCCTTAACTCAACTGCCTAAGGACTCTTTTTCTCCTCTTTCTCATCTGTAAAATAGGAGTTATTGTTCATGTTAAGTGCTGTTGAGTAGGCTCATAGTGACTCTATGAACAATAGATCTGGACCTCCCCTACTCTGAACCATCCTCACAATCTCCCATACCCTCAAGCTTTAGTCACTATGTCAGTCAATTTGGTTGAGGGTCTTCCTCTTCTTCACTGTCCCTCCACCTTCCCAAGCATGATGTCCATCATTAAGGAATAATTTTCCTAACAACACCATGCACAGATTATGTGAGATGAAGCT